AAACAACAGTAATGTTTATGAAACCAAATACAAAATGCACCACAAGTTTGTGGATCAAATTAATACACCAGTGTGCCTGAAAATCCTGAGTGAGTTTTAAGCAGGTAATAATAATAATAATAATAATAATAATAATAATAATTTATTTATACCCCACCCATCCTGCTGGGTTTCCCCAGACACTCTGGGTGGCTCCCAACAGAATAAAACATCAAACATTAAAAACTTCCCTAAGCAGGGCTGCCTTCAGATGTCTTCTAAAAGTCAGATAGTTGTTTATTTCCTTGACATCTGATGGGAGGGCATTCCACAGGGCGGGTGCCACTATGGAGAAGGCCCTCTGCCTTTTCCCCTGTAACTTCACATCTCACAGTGAGGGAACTGCCACAAGGCCCTCAGAGCTGGACTTCAGTGTCCAAGCAGAACGATGAGGGTGGAGACGCTCCTTCAGATATACTGGGCCGAGGCCATTTAGGGCTTTAAAGGTTAGCACCAACACTTCGAATTGTGCTTGGAAACGTACTGGGAGCCCAATGTACATCTTTCAGGACCGGTGTTATAGGGTCTCGACGGTTCCTAAATCTAAGGCTGTCACTTTAGGATATGCCCAGTCACTTTAGGATACAGCATTTACTTTTTTCAATTTTTCTGTTTTGCATGTGGGGCTTATTGTTGCTTCTTTTTGTAACTCTGCACAGTTGCGTTTAGTATGAGGTTCATTAGAAAAAAAACTCCACCCTGCATGGTTTCCCCCCTTTTTCTTCATACTTACTGTTTCATTCTACCCCACACTTCTCTTCATTAAGAGTTTTATGCAGAAGGCACTTCTTCTTTTTAAAAACTCTGCAAGTCCCCCCCCCCCTTGCTCTTCTGATCCCCTTCTGGCAGCACAGCAGTTTAGCACCTTTGGGCAGGCGCCTCGCCTGGGTACCGCGAGATGAGTGGGTGTGATTTCACAGTCTTGCTTCAGTTAGCAGCAGAAAATAGCTTGGAAATATACTGCTCTTAAAAAACACACGATTAAACGTGAATATGAATAACTTACAAATGAAATGATCTTCTCTATGTAGGTTTGGTAAACATTTTGAGAATCAAGATAAGGCTGTTTCTGCATGACTTGAGCCAACAACCAGTACAAATGGAAGGAACTTCCATATGGATCTGGTATAGATTGCAAAGTAATATAAGGATCAAGAGGCATGATTTGCAGTGTGTCTGCAGTGTTAAAACAATGCTGTGTAATGGTTTACTCAAAATATTATTGGGGTTAGTTCAACAAGTTGGCATGCCTACTTGACCAGTTTTTCAACAATCTGACAACTTAATAAAGTTAACCTGATTTAAAGGAAATCTAATCTAGGGGCGGACTTGTGTGAATGTGAGAGGTATGGTCCATTCATGAGAGCATGTAGAGGGGGAAGAGACATCACTGCAAATTTCCACTTGCCAGAGTGTCAAGAAGTAAAAATGGTGTAAAGCAGGGGTAGGCAACCTAAGGCCCAATTGCTTTCTCAATCCAGCCCACGGACGGTCTGGGAATCAGCGTGTTTTTACATAAGTAGAATGTGTGCTTTTATTTAAAATGCATCTCTGGGTTATTTGTGGGGCATAGGAATTCGTTCATTCTTTTCCTTCAAAATAGAGTCTGGAATCCAGGGATGCCCTTTCTTAGGCAGATCATGTGGTTTTCCTGGGATGTTTGAACCGTGGCATCTTCCTTTGTAGGTCATAGACCCTGGAAGACTGCTCTTTACTGTTTTAAAATTTGGATGTGGAAGAGAAAATATTTTATACTCTTCTTTGGGTTTTTAGATTATGCCTCTCTGTTTTTTGGTCCTTTTCTAAAAATGAGGATGCCTAATCTACTTTGCATGATTCTCCTGATGATGACAGAGATTGTAAGTGCTCTTATTGACTATAGAAAGCTTATAGCGATGATGAGAAACTATAATCCTGGTATTATTTCTGTCTCTTTCTAGATAACCATTTGCTCAGAAATAGGTGACTGAACGCCAAAGAATTTGAAAGACTTCTGAAAGAACAAATCTAGTTTCCACAAGATCAAATCTGTATTAAATGGCTGATAAACAGATCAGGTAAAAGCATTTCTTTCCTTCTTCTCTCAACTGTTGTCTCCACTTCTGGTTCCTTTTGTCCTTCCACATTTGCTTTTCTTCATTCGTAAGGTCCACAACACATCCCAAAGTACTCTCTTCTTTCTCTACCCCTTTGCCTCTGCTCCTTTCTTCATTATTGCCCCTGATGGTCTTGTGGTTGGAACAGAAGAGGAGGAACAGCACATGGAGCAGACTCAAACATTCAGGCTGCACTGCTGTGCCCACTTATCTGAGAGTATGCCCTGTATTCCATGGGACAGGAATACTTTTGATACAAGGACCCACATGCTTGAAATCATAGCTGCATAGGTGATTCATAAGCTTTAGACATCCTGCATGTTTGGGAGACAGGCCCAGTTGTTAGATTTTGAGGTGGATAGATACACTTTTGCAGTGGGATGCAAAGAATTGGGTTGTTGTTTCTGTCTGCACCAGGTCTTTTCTGTTCCCCTCCTTTTGGCATCCACTTGCACTCTACAAAAAGCTAGTTATCGGGACACTCCATGCAGCAGCATACAATGTAATGTGAGTGGATTCAGCCGGGGGAAATTAGTAAACAATCAAACTCGCACTCATATTGCATAGTGGAATTACTTTCCACAAGTATATGGGCCTGTTTGTCCTTAGAACTAGATCCATGTTAATTTAATGGGACAAGTTAATCATAACTTGATTTAACTCCCATTGAAATCAGGAGCGAAGTTCAATTCTGACGTTTAAAATAGAAGTAAGATAAGTAAGTTTTGTATGATACTGGCAATATTATTAATTTATTTTAGAGGCACAAGAATGCACCTTTGAAATACCAATAATAAAAAATTGGGGCACGCAAACATCTTTTAATGAATGTACATATTTATCTGGGACATAGAAAGTCTAGAGGAGTTAAAACAGGCCATATGCAGCCTCCAGCCAGATTTTATCCAACACTTCAGGTCCCCTCCCAACTATCAGCAGGGAGGGAAAAGGACTTTGATGTTGTGCAAAGTTGTGCAATTTCAACTCTTTGTGAGAAGATCAAATCAGGGAGCAAAATGTCTCATCAGAATTCTGCTTCTTACAAATATAGTATGCATGCAATTTAAGGCTGCAAAGTTTGAGGCTATAAAGTAAGACTGTGCAGTGATCTTATTTTAATTATTCTTAATTCTGAGTTCTTTTTGCCTTTTGCACAGTCAGGATAGGCAAATGATGTTGCAGAGTTGTTGTTGGTTTTTTTTGCTGCAAACGTTGCGGGGTGGGGGGAAGTATAAGGAAAATGGAAGGTGAAAAGTCAAGTGGGGTTACTAAGAAATATATTGCCTGTTTTCATGGGAAATAGCTTTGTGAGTCTTGCCTATCTATTACTGGAAGGCGATCTATGACAGCTTTCCATTGGGTGAATATTTACCAACCTTGCGTTAAAGCAATGGGTGATGTTGCAGAAATTACATTAAACGGAGGCATAATATCTGATAGTAATGGCATGTTTTTCTAGGGGTTAAAATTAGTGCTATAGAAAAGCTTAATAGGTGTTATGTGCTAGGGAGAGTCTTACCCCACCAATAGTCTGACTGAAGCATTTTGCACCAGCTGGAGCCCCCAGACCAGGCCCAAGGGTAGCCCCATGTACTGCACATTGCAGTAATCAAGTCTAGAGGTTACCAATGCCTGAATCTTCTGTGGCCAGACCATCCCTGTCCAATAATGGTCATAGAGAATGTAACAGCCATAGCTGGTAAAAGGTTTTCCTTTCAACTGAGGCTACCTGACCCTCCAGCAACAAATTTGGATCCAGGAACAAGTTAACAATTCCTAATATGCTATACAAGCAATAAGTTATCTCCTCTTTGGTAGCCAACACACAAAATTCTGGGTACTACTACTAATAATAATAATAATTGAATTTATATACAACCCTATACCAGAGGGTAAAAGAGCAGTTCACAGAATAAAATCAAGATATAAAACCACAAAATACATAATAAAAACACAATAGCCCTCCCCAAAAAAACACATTTTAAAAGGGCATAGGATGTAAATCAGATCAACCAAAGGCCTAGTTAAAAAGGAATGTTTTTGCCTGACGCCTAAAGATGTATAATGAAGGCACCATGCAAACTTCCCTGGGGAGGGCATTCCACAGACAGGGAGCCACTGCAGAGAAGGCCTTTTCTCGTGTTGCTACCCTCTGGACCTCTCAAGGAGGAGGCACATGAAGGAGGGCCTCAGAAGATGATCTCAAGGTCTGGGTAGGTTCATATGGAAAGAGGCGGTCCTTGAGGTATTGTGGTCCTGAGTCGTTTAAGGTACCATATATCAAACTAAAAACTTGGTCCTCAGCATATCTCTATTATTTATGTCACCATTGTTGTCTTAATAAACCAAAGTATTTTATATTTTGTGGGTTTACAGTTGACCAGCAGGCAATGAACTACAAGATGTTAGGGCATAAACCAGAGGTGGGGAACCTCTGGCTCACTGGCCAACCTTGGCCCGACAGGCGCTCCAAGTTGGCATGTGAGGTCATTCCCTGCAAACCACAGCTGCCTGTCACTCACTGGGTGATGTTAGCTGATGGGTTTAGTCCTGCTGGATGCTTGTTCCCTTTGGGGAAGCATGCTGGGGAAGCAGACTACTCCCCCGCAACCCCATGGTTCAACTTTGTTAGGTGGGTTACTCTACCCACTGGGGGATGGGAGATGATGATGATCTGGCCCACTAGGATGAAAAGGTTGCCAGCCCCTGGCATACACTGTAATTATGTAGCTAATTTGTTGTTTTGTACTGTCGCAGCAATCTGTGACTTTAGAACGGAATCAAGCAAGTGTTCTTGCAGTGTCTGTTTAACAGGCAACAGAGCTGTTTAACAGACACAGTGCATATCACAGCAAATGGCACGTAATGCTCAGGTGAGTTGTCAAGGCCCGACTTTGATACTTCTGCTTAACGGCTGGCTCTTCCGCATCAACCATTTCGGGTGTGCTGCTAGACCTTTCCTGAAAAGCAAGTCTCCCTCTGAGAATCTGAGCAGCTTTTCTACTTGCTGTTGCCCTTTGAGAAAATGCCTTCTGATTCTTTGGCTCTGCTTACGTCCAGCCATTGTCTATTTCACGAGTGATTTTCCAATTTCATTGTTACCTAAGAGCAGCTTTTGTAGAGAGAGCCTTAGCTAGACAATGAGTGTTGTCTTCTGACAAAGAGTTGGGGATTTTGTTATTTTAATGGTTTCAGGGAAAAGAGATCCTCTTACTGGCACATCTTATAATTGAGACAACAGGTTTTAATGTGTGTGGTTTTTAAAAAATGCAGGATAGGACGACACAGAGAACTACTAGCTGTGTGACAACAAACTCCCTTGGTTGCCCTGTGGGATTACGGTACTTTTTTTGAGTGAAAGACAAGGGAAGAGCAACCCTTTTGATTCTCTGACCTGGACTCCTTAAAGGCTTTTGGTGCCATCACAGATGGTGTTCTTCTTGATATCGGTTGTCTAGGGTAGGTTTGAGAGGCACTGCCCAGCAGTGGTTCTACTCATTTTTGGATAGCCATTTCCGGAAAGTAGTGCTGGGATAATACTCTTCACCCCTTAGTGCTTTGTGAGTCCACAGGGTTTCCATGCTGTTTAACATCTACATGAAACTGCTGTGAGAGGTTATCCTGAGATTTGGTCTGATTTGTCACCCATAAGGAGATGGCACCCAGCTTTCTCTCTCACTTTTGTTGGACTTAGCTGAGGTTGTCACAACCCTGAACCAGTATTTGGGAGTGATTATGGGCTGGGTGAGGGTGAATAAACCGAGACTCAGTTCAAACAAGAATGCTGATAGTGGTTCATTCACCCAGGTGATTATTTTCAGCCTATTTTACATGGGATTCCATCCCCCATAAAGGACCACAGTTTGCAATCTGGGGGTGCTTATTGATCCAGCGCTTTCATTTGAAGCTAAGAGACCTATGTTCCTCAAAGCGCTGTTATCATCTTCAGCTAATTCACCAGCTGCAACCTTGTTTGGGTAAAGATAGTGTGGCTACAATTACCCATGTTCTGGTAACCTTCCATTTTAGACTATTGCAATGCATTGTATATAGACCACCCAATAAAAAAAGTCTGCAAATACAGTTGTTCCAGAATAGGGCACAATACTAATAGCTGGTGCTGGGCAGTTTAACTCTATTAACTGTGTCCGTCCAGTTCTAGGCCCAATTTAAAGGTCTGATTTTAATCCATAGAGCCTAAACCATTTGGGATCAGATTGAAAAAATGTCCTTTGCCATATGCATGTGGTGGAACTTTAAGACCCTCTTCAAAGACTTTGATTCAGGTGGCCCTGCCCAATGAAGTAAGGCAGATAACCAATGTGGGGGGTGGTCTTTTCAATAGTGGCACTCACTTATGCAATAGCCTTCCCATGAAAGCTAGCCTTGCACCCTCTTTGTCAGGCATCCCCAAACTTGGCCCTCCAGATGTTTTGGGAGTACAATTCCCATCATCCCTGACCACTGGTCCTGTTAGCTAGGGATGATGGGAGTTGCAATCCCAAAACATCTGGAGGGCCGAGTTTGGGGATGCCTGCTCTTTGTGGTCTTTTTGGTGCCAGACAAAGACTTTTCTGTTCATCCATGTGTTCTATGCAACTTCTGTAGTCTGGCCCTTTCAGATTTTCTAGTGTTTCTGATTTTGAGAGTATAGTGGGCTTTGTTTTCATGGTTTATTTTGTATGTAGGTACGTGTCTGGATTTATATTAGTCCAGCTGCCTGGCTGTACTCAACTGATAATATTTAGGCTGCATAACACGCACCAGGGAGTGTGGGTTGGAGAGTAAGAATACTGGTTTACACTTGTTTTCTGTAAGAGATTCTTTGTCAACTTGCAGAATTGTGCTGCAGAATACAATGGGATTGTCATTATAAACTTTACTCTGGGATGTTTTTCATAATCTGCTGAATTTCCAAGGTGGCCCAGTGTTAATTTACTATAGTTTCAGATTTAGAGGAAGGGAAGGCTCCATGATTTTCACTGTTTATAAATCATGAAATACAAACTCGGAATAATCAGCTCTGGATAACTTTTTTTTTTTTTTAAGGCTATTATGTCTCTCTTGTTGAGACCATCCTCTGCATGACCAGCTGTCCCATTCCTGGCCTATTCGAAAGCCCTCAGAGTTCTTTTGTCAGCTGACCAAAGTGGAGCTCACTTCTCACTCCCCCTGTTTCTGATAAACATTCTGATATAGGCTCAGTGCCAGGCATTATAGGCCATAATATATGACTGGGCACAAAGATATAAAGTTTTTTTTTTGGGGGGGGGGTTTCTTTTAAACTTAACTTCGTTTGAGAGGTGGGTTTCCTGCTCTTAGGCTTCTTTATTCTGAAATCAACAAATGCAAGTAAGTTCCACAATACTGCTTTTGTGCAACTAGTGAGTCATTACTACTGCCATTACCACTACTATTTCTTTTTCTTTTTTCCTGCTGTTGCAATCATAAAAGAATTATGTGAATCTGAGGCTTTCCATGAAAAAAATTTCTGATGTCCCGTGACCATGAGATTATGTAGATTTTTCTATGGCAATGGTACACATGCTTGCTTGACAGCAGCACCCATTGATCTTGTACCTGAATAGACACATTCCAAATGAGGAACTCTAGTCTGGTGCGGAAAAACCAGCTAAGAGTCTTGTGATTCCTTAAGTACCATAACTTTTCATGAACAGGAGTCTCCACAACTAACCCATCTGATGAATGGGACTCTAATCCATGGACAACAAACACCACAACAAACCTGTTGGTCCCTAAGATGCAGTGAGATTTTTCTGAGGTGCTAGTACCTACGGGACCGCCTCTCCTGGTATGCCCCGCGGAGGACCTTAAGGTCCACAAATGACAACACTTTCGAGGTCCCAAGTCGCAAGGTGGTTAGATTGGTCTCAACTAGGGCCAGGGCCTTTTCAGTACTGGCCCCGACTTGGTGGAACGCTTTGTCACAAGAGACTAGGGCCCTGCGGCACTTGACATCTTTCCGCAGGGCCTGCAAAACAGAGCTGTTCCACCTGGCCTTTGGTTTGGACTCAGTCTGACCCTTATGCTTCCCTCCCCTTATGGTTTTGATCTATGGACTACTTTTAAAATGAGGCTGCATTTTAAATTGTATTTTAACCTGTATTTTAAATTGGTCCCCCCCATTATGTTTTTATTGTAATTTTACTGGTGTTAGCCGCCCTGAGCCCGGCTCTGGCCAGGGAGGGCGGGGTATAAATAAAATGTATTATTATTATTTTTTATTATTATTGCTCATGTATCTTGATTGAACATATGGCTGCTATAGTTATTTCGCCTTTTGATGTCTTCTTGTGCCTCTCTATCACTTTTCCTCACAGTTTACCTGCCAAGCTGATCAATGGAGGGATAGCTGGGCTAATTGGGGTCACCTGTGTATTTCCTATTGACCTGGCAAAAACTCGCCTACAGAATCAGCAGAATGGCCAGAGAATGTACACAAGCATGTAAGTACTCGAGTTACGAAGTGAAAGAAATTGTGTAGTAGTTATTCATCGATCATTTCTTTTTTGAAAAATCAATTTGCATAGAAAAGCTGCTTTGCAGTACTGTGCTTATTTTTTCTTATTTGAACAAGAGTTTTACATTTGGGTCTTGCACTTTCAGTAGTTGTTTAGAAGAGGGGATTTCTTTCTCCTATACTACTATCAAATGTGCAACAGTCCTTCTCCTGCACCCTGACATCTCTTATTATAGAACATAATATATATTTTTTAAGTTTCAATTTTAAAAATTGAAATGATTCATGATTAACTTCTTGGTTATCATTTGTACAGGGTATTAACTTTAATAATTGAGCCATCAAAAATCCAATATAAGCCCCTACATACTCAATATTCCTAATGGATTACAGCTGCAATCCTATGTGCACTTACCTTTGAGTAAGTACCATTGAACTCAGCGGACGCTTTTGAGTGGACAAGAATAGCACTGCACTCCATGCCCCCCGTTCATCTGTAGGCTTTAGCATGGGGACAAGCAAAAAGCGTTAGGTACATGATTCCAAAGAAATCTGTAGATCAGGAAAGCAGTTTTGCTTCTGGCATTGCCTTTTAATTAGCTAAGGATGACTCCTGGGGGTTGTTCTGATATGTCTTGTGAAAGGCAGTGCATCCTTCAGAGAGAGGTGCTGTTGCTTTTTGCTGCACCTGGTCTTGTATCAGTTTTTACAAAGACTTCCATTTTTCCACCAGCATAAAACTGGAAAAAATGTTCCATCTCTTTTCTGCCTTTCTAGTGAAGCCTACTGAGGTGTATGAATTGCCTGCTCTTCTCACCTGCAGCCAGATGACTAACACAGGACAAAGAGCAGCTAGCTGAGCAATGTGGCCAGACTTAAAACACTATTTGTAATGACTTATGTTGTATCAAGGGACTGAAACTATGCTTAAAGCCCCAATCAGTGACTTTCCTTGTCCTCCATCTTTTCAATAGGTCTGACTGCCTTATCAAGACAATCCGTTCCGAAGGGTATTTTGGCATGTACAGAGGTCAGTGTTAAGCTGCATTATTATGAATGATTTATCACAGTAGGAAAGCCTTGTTGGAGAAGGAGGAAAATATGTTATTCCTGGGTTTGGGTTGCCAACATTTAGTCCTGGCGTTCTGTGCCTTTAGGATCTGCATGGTAATTTGAAATTCAACAGGTAAAGCTTTTCTCAGGCCTAGAGCGCTAATTTTTGTGTAGGTTTGCCTATGGGGTGAGATATGGTGAATAAGAAGAGCAGAGTTCCTGCACCACCAAGGTGGCATTGGCTATGAGATATGCCCACATCATTTAGCAAAGTGCTTTCTTGTTTCTTTTTGTTTCTATCCTTCTTACTTTATGCAGATTTATTTGACATCAACACACTGATTCAGTTAATTAATCACTTAAAACAACTGAATCAACTAATGTAATTGGAGCAATGCAGTAGGGGACTATTCCATTGGAAAGAAATATGAAGCAGAAATGGACAGAAAAATGCAGAAGAACTGGAGGATGCCACTTGATACCATCTTTTTCAGGATTCTTTTTCTGGAGATTTTTATCTTTAGCAAAATCTAGCTTAGTTCATCTTCACTGCAAAGAGGGTAGAAATCTAGACACTGACTTGTGCTTACAGATACAATGTAGTGCAAAGTTGGTATTCTTTTACTTGAGTTGAAGAATTTTTGCGCTCACTTATTTCGCATGCAATGTTTTGTGGCGTTTCCCAGTTTGCAATGAATATGGCTTCTTCCCTCACTCTTTTTTACTGCTCGAGTGTGTTGTTCTTCCAGACCACACCATTAAGAGTTTGGGTTATGCCCGGAACAAAAAACACTTTTGTATCCAGTGCCAAATTCAACCAAATACTGGATGGAAAAAATGCAGTATCATCATATGCAAATATTTCCCCAACAGGAGACTGCTTGAAAATAAACTTTATAGTGGGAAAGTATTTTGGTTTGTGTTTTCTTTGGTGCCCTCAAATTCTTGACTTCAGAATGGCTTTATAGGACAATCTGGCTTGGAATTTCTTTCCATGGAAAAGGTTACTGCTACTTTTACTTCTTATTTTGATTCTGACTAAGAGTGTGGAAGGGATTCTTTTTATCAAGATGGAAACAGCACACTGCAGTTTTTTAAGTGCCCGGGCTCCTGTACAATGGGATCAGCAATTGTAGCAGTGGGTTCCAGAGGCTAATTCTTGGTTGCTACAGTTGCTGCATTTTTCCTAGGTGGTCTCCTATGACTTTAGTGGCTGTGTGAGAAGCTGAAACCCAACAGGTAGAGCTCTTCCCACCACTGTATCTGCACACTGAGGAAAAACTTCATCTGTGCTGAATTTTTGCTAATCATGCAGCTGTTTAAAAGCAGAAAGGCTCTCTTGGATAATAAAAAGTAGTCGGTGCTTGCAGAGGGGAGGAAGCATGTAACAAATTAGCCAATTTACCTTTCAGTTAATCTTACATGTCTTATCTATCTTGGCTTGCATATTTCTGTGTGTGGTCAGAGATCAAAGACACATAGCTGGAGTTCAAACAGCTGTAAACCTTGGAAGTTTTTCATGTGATTAGGAGGGTGTAGTCACAATTTGAATCTCATTCATTTTCTTGTAGTATAGAATTGCAAGAGCGTGCAGATATTTATCTGTTTATAAGAAGCATTCATGCAGTAAACCATGGTTGTATCACCTTGGCAGTACAGTTTACTATTGACAGTTTACCTTTAATTAGTTGATTACGCAAGTCCAAGTTGAATGACCTTTGAAGTTTGTTTCTCCCAGTTGAATAGGATCTTACCAGATCTTGGTCAGGTTTCCCAGGAAAGGGGATTAGTTTTAGGCAATGGGGATGCCATGACAGACGGTTGAGGGCAATGTGTTCTTGCTGCCAAGTTACAGGTGGGTGGTGGGCAGACAGACAGAGGTGCGTGGAGTGGAAGCTGCATTAGGATTGGCTGGTTGAGCAGTTGAGTGGAGAGCAGTCCCTAGACAGGGAAGCAAACGGCTGTGTTTTGTGTCAGCTCTGACAAATCCGTTGTAACAAGCAAGCAGTTGAGATTTTACTTAGTGCCAAGCTCGTTGTTCGTCATGTGCCCGCTCTGGACACGTGGGAAAATATAGATGTACAAAACAGAAATGGTTTGCATTGGATGCATTGCATTGCAATGGATGGCAGCTCCTATTCTAGTTAGCTGAGGGCATGAAGCTTCTGAGGGCATGAAGCTTCCCTCCAGTTTGCTCTGCATCGGTTTCCTTTTGCGTTGTGAGTGTGCCAGGGCCAAACCTTTGCCAAATGGTCTCTGCAGCACAGAACTGGAGCAGCGCAGACCACCCAAGGCAGGCAGCCTTCTTACTAAGAATACCCTCAACGTCATCCCCAGGCTCCCACTGTAACAGGCAGACTATTCCTAGCTGCTGGATGGAACATAATGAGGCTTTATTTAACTTCAATACATAGTATATTTATACACTTTGTGGCTGTTCTATAACCCCTCCGATTGTGTCCTCCAGCAGCACGCAGTAGTACATTGATGCTGATCCCACTTGCGTCAAACATCAGCTCTGCTGAGGTTATTTTCTCTTTAGCCTGATAAATGCAGATAGGTGCAAAAAAATATGCATAACCCTCAGATTTGTTGACCACAATTGTGTGGATTAGGACATTGCCTATACAGAACTGCATATATTTTTGGTAATATATTCTGATAGCAAAAGTAGAAGCTTTGTTGCATTTGCAAATGTATGGCAGGGAATTAGATGACTGATGCAGAAGGGAAGAAAAACCACACATTCTATCTGGTTTCTTTCTAATATTTAATGCTTCCATATGGCTGCCTTTTTTTAAAAAAACTGGTTGACTTGTACAAGCACATTGATGATTAGCAAAAATTTCCCAGTGTTGATTCATTACCAATTAAAGCAACAAATTAAACAGTACTACTTTGCTTGAGAAGGATGTACCGTATATAGAACAAGATTTTATAATAAGATATATTTTATGAGAAATGCTAAGGATTTTGTTAAATGGAAAGGAATACATGAAGCATTTTAGTAGAGCAACAAATCAACCAGGCAGTTGTTCTTGATACGTAGTCAATCTATCAAAGGTTTATGGGGCCCTTAGTAAAACCTTGTAAAATGCTGGCTTTATGGTGACTGTCTGCTCTGCCTCCCAGTCATTTGCTGGTGTCTGAAGCCTGGCAGCCTTATTTATGAGCAATTCTACATTTCAGCCCTAGTAAATTAAGCAACGTCTAGCGTCAACACCCCTGGCCTGTATGCCAAGGACTACATTTTGGAGACTAAAAAATACTGGGAGTCCGTGGAGGTGTGCTTGTCTTTCTTCAGTGATTTGCAGCCACATTGGGTTACTGAGGACAAGGATTATAGCTCCCCCCTTCCCCCATCAAGCAGCTTTGCTGAAAACATTAAAGATTTAGAAGAAAATCACAGATTGACCTTTTATCTGGAAATACATTTTTCCTGACTTTAATTCATTTGAGATACAAAAATATTGACCCAGAAGCTGTTTCATTAGTATTAGTATACAGTGCACCAAGTTTTTGTATGCTGAAAGGAGTTCAAGTGGGAGAGTGACTAGAGCGAGATGAGCGCGCAACCCCAGAGTCGGTCACGACTGGACCTTAATGGTCAGGGGTCCCTTTGCCTTTAGCAAGAAAGAATATGCCAGTCTTTGATAGCCGTTGCCTAGATGATAGGAATCAGTGCCAGCTCTATGCTCAACCACTCGCCTTGAATGAGCTCCCACTTCTCCTGCTAATACCCATTCCCATGACCTTTCCCTTTGGGGCCCAGCCTGCCCAGCTGGCTAGAGGGGAGAGGCAAAGGAAGATGAGGCGGATGTTTCTCCTCCTTGCTCCTGCTAGCTTAGAGGGCCAGGTGAACAAGTGACAACAGCAAAGAAGAGAAGAAAAAGGGCTCCAGTGGGTGGCAGTGGTTCCCTGTTGGGTGAGGGCTTCAGCAGCTGTTCTGACTCCTGACCCCAGGGATGCCTTGAGCACCATGTCTAGTTTGGCCCTGAATCACAAGTGTAAGCAACCTTTAGAGGAAGAGATTGTTCAGGAGATGGCTCTTGCCCTAATCTACTGCAGATGGCCCTTCACCATGCAAAGTACTCTGTGAATTCTGCATAGTTGGGGAACAAGCAAACGAGAGGTCATCCTTCTCATGGGGGAAATGCAGCGGCCGAAACTGGATTCCCTTTCCTAAGTGACCTCAGTGGTGTGGGTCACTCTTGTGTCACTAATGCTGCTTTCCTTTGTTATCCAGAGCAGCGCACAGTTTGTAATGCCTTCAGAGGGATTTGCTGTTTGTTGCTGCCGATAATAGAGTACACACATTCACCATGTGAACGTCACGTGCTGTTTACATACCAGAGGACAGAGTTGGGTGTGCGCCTACTCTGTTGAAACTGGAGAAAGGTGCTTTGGTATGGTCTGCCGCAAACTAGCTGCCAACCCCTGATGCTGACCCTGATAGGGATGCATAGATTGAACACACTTTTTGAACTGAGGCAAGTTTTAGTTTGGAACAAAGGAGCTTTTGAGGCCACAGTTAGGTCAGTCTATGCTGTTAATTAAGTAGGGTTCGTACAGGAAATACTTATTTCTCTTTTTTGTGGTGCAAAATAAATACTTAGCAAAGTGCTTTGCATACATGAACTCAGCAATTTTTACAACAATTCTATAAAGTAGATGAGTACCTTAATTTCCGCTGGATGTATGTGTGTGTGAAGCAGACAGTGGCTTGTCTAAGGCTACCCAGTGAACAGATGGTTGAGGTGAGAATTTAACCAGGGTTTCCATCTCCTAGCTCTTCCTTTCCCCCCAAAATTGAGGTGTGCTCCATTAATGTGCATGACCTTTGGGTCAGGGCATAGTGTGTTAAAGGGAGCAACGCCTTTCAACACTTTTTGACAGATGTAACCTGTTTGTAAAGCGAATAAATCAAAGCTGGCAGAGGGAAGAGAGACATGCCTCTGGAAGAGAAAAAATCACCGACTCCTTCTAAGCAACCTTTAGAGGAAGGTTTGAAGGAGGGCTTTTTTTGAGGGTGGGCTGTGTCCCTCAAGAATTTGTTGGGCTCTCAGCTCTCATGAGCCCCAGCCAACATGGACAACATGGACAATAGGCAGGGATTATTGGAGATGTAGACCAGCAACATCTGGAGGCAGGTAGCAGTTTGTGCATATGCAACTGAAGCAGCATCTGATTGCTGGCAGTGAACTAACTGGCTCTGCCCCACTAGAGGGAAAACCCTCCTCCCTGTCCCATCTGAATGGAGTGCATCCGTGGTCCCAGTTAATACTGAATGAATCCTATGCCACAGTGTGGCAGGGGAGGCAATTGCTAATGTAGTAGCAAACATTGGTTTGGATGGAAATGGGTACCACCACTGGCTTCCAACATAGCGTAAGTTTTGTTTCTGGCGTGGCTCCTAGAATTGGTCTGCATTTCTAGATTCTGTTGATTCTACAGTGCCTTATCTCCCCCAGCTCAGTTTTCTGGGTGAGGTTGATGGTCACCAAGAAAACACAATTTTTTATCTTTTAAGTCTTCCCTAATTCTCTTAACGTTCTGTTCTCCATATTTCTTGCCCAGGGGCTGCAGTGAATCTGACACTAGTGACTCCAGAAAAAGCCATCAAACTAGCTGCCAATGATTTCTTCCGGCATCATCTGGCCAGAGATGGGTGAGTGTGATAGAGGGCACTGTGTATAATGGTTTCTAGGAGGGGTGTCATGACTGGGATATTTTGATGGCACCCCATTGCTTCCAGTGTGGATGCACTGAGGCAGCTGTCCATAGTACTTGGTATTGTTGCCATTGAGTCAAGTGCATTATTCATCTGCTTGACTGCGCCTGCTTTGAAAACAATGGGATACCACTGACACATTTAATTTATACCACAGACAAGTGTTTCTCTTTCTTTTGGTGGATGCACTAGTTTTGCTACTTTGCATTTGGTTTGAGGTGACTTGTCTCTATTTTGTGGAGACCAGTGCTCAAGACAATATTATTCCCTTTCACTTACTAATTTATTAAAGTAATATCTTGCCATTCATCTGAAGATCTCAGGGCAGTTCACAACATAAAAATACAAAATAAAAACACAAAATGCATAATAAAAACAAAGCAAAGCAATGACCGCTCCTGCCTACAAACACATTTAAAAGGACAAAGAATGTTAATCAGCCCAAGGCCTGGTTGAAGAGGAACATTTTTGCCAGGGGCTTAAAGATGTGTGATGAAGGTACCAGGTGAGCCTGTCTGGGGAGAGCATTCTGCAAACAAGGAGCCAATGCAGAGAATGACTGCTGGTCACATTGGGGCTCTTCTTTGAGAACAAAGTTGGCATCTGAGTAGACTGGTTTGTTCAGTAATGATTAATGTATTGTAGCTCATCACAGAGAGATCATTTTGGGGTTCAAATGTTAAGCTTTTTATGAATAATTGCAAAGGAGATTACACAATATTCAATATCTTGTTTGCCCAAGGCCAATTGTGGAGCTATTCATGGACTAGGAAAGACGCAATTGCATTTCTAGGTTGATTGTCACACACTCTCCTGGCAGTTTCCTTGGATTGTTTGCAGGACACTGTGCATACCATGAAGTCCTCCTACCAGAGATGACAACCCCAGTAACTGCTGCCTTTTATATGTCCAAAGGGACAGTGACCATACTTTTCTGTCTGCAGCATTTGGTGGGAGCTGAGATTTTTTTTGCAGAGGCAAAAGGTTACCTACCCTCTCCCTGCATTCCATGATGCTGATCGGAAACACCACAGCTATAAATTTTCAAGCACATTTAATTTGCACATTTAAAGCATCATTGTCACATTTGGCCCTTAGCTGAAACTAATAAAGGTATTACCTCACTATTACTTTTGGATGATCAAAAAGAGGCATTGAGGTGTAGTAGAGGTGTATCTGAATTTCACAGAACCTTTATACAACAGAGTAGATGTGTCATTCTGCACACTTGATCAACATGATGCACAGGAATTGAAAGTGAGAGGCTACTGACTGAAAGGACTCCTTTGCATCTCAGCCAAGGTTACTTTGCCACCAAATGTGGGAAAATATCCAAAAACAAAGGCAGTATCTGTGATTATTCATGTGCTAATGCTTAGAGGTCCTTTGTTTCTGCTGCAAATTCTAGCTGCTGAAGAATTCCAAGTTTGGCACTAACAAACAGAGGTGAAACTGCTTTATTTATTTATTTATTTATTTATTCATTCATTCATTCATTCATTCATTCTTTACCAATATATTATTTGAGGAATGGCCTTGTGCAAAATGATACAAGAGGTGTATCCTCTGGAGCCTGTCTTTGGGAATCTCACTGAAATTGTTTCAATGACCTTCAGAATTCCTAAGGACGTTTCACCAAGGCAAGGCACTTAAAATTCACTTTAAACTTGGACTTATGCAAGATTCAGGGCCTGGGAAATAGATTACAACGCCATTTCTTAAAAGCTGGATTGTGGCCATGGGTGGAATGCAAATCTCATTTCAGCAGGAGGAGTATTAACCCATCTCTTTAGGCTGTCCCCCCCTTCCCTCGAAATAGGCTCCACTTCGCCTGCTTGCCTACCTGCAGGACAAAGGATTTGAATGCCTTGTTTCTTGGATGGGGAAGCAGTTAGAGAGAAAATGGTCAAAGGCAGAAAGGGGTTAAGTATACAGATAAGAAAACCTTTCCCTTGTAGACAGCAATGTGGGGCAGAAGATTACCCAGTGCCTTATTTTTCTGTGGAAAGTGCTTTGTTCCATAAGTTCATTAGTAATGATGAATGAATGCCAGTTGCAAATACAATACAGTGGTACCTCGGGTTACAGACGCTTCAGGTTACAGACACTACAGGTTACAGACTCCATTAACCCAGAAATAGTACCTTGGGTTAAGAACTTTGCTTCAAGATGAGAACAGAAATCGCACGGCGGCAATGGGAGGCCCCATTAGCTAATGTGGTACCTCAGGTTAAGAACTGTTTCAGGTTAAGAACGGACCTCTGGAACGAATTAAGTTCTTAACCAGAGGTACCACTGTATTAGGTAAGCATGGGAATTTAGCTTCATTAACTAAATACAAGTAAAGCAAGCAAGCTAAATTAGATCACTCTCTAGGACACCAGAACAATTTCCAAAGCAAACTGAACATTTGTCAATGCAAACTAATATAGGAAAAAATTCTAGTTCAAAATTTTCTAGAAGACCATCTGCAGCTGCATTTCAGGTTTTTTTGTTTGTTTTTTTTAAATCAGTTTCACATTTCCCAACCAATAGGGCTTTGGTGGTGATTTTAGCCTTTTGGTATAGTAAGGTACAGTATGCTAAACACACTGACCATTACTGTGTGCGATCCTTGAGAGCTTGCATCACGGCAAAATTTTGCAAAAAGGTAGTTAATCCTAAAAACACACGTGCTTGTCTTTTTTTATTTATAAAAATAATGGCCTCTTGGGTAGTGCAATATAATAAAGGTAGAAATGCTTTCTGTTTATTGAACCTGTCAAACACAGATACCCTCAAACTATTTCAAGGCACTCTCTGAAACAATGAAGGCTAAATATATATTACTTTTTCAAGGCTAGAAATACCACTACGCTTTGGAATGAGAAGCTGCTTGGATGCAGTCCACAGGCAGCATCACCTCTATCCCTGCTGTGTTTGGTCTTGTTTTCATTTCTCAGTTTAGCCCAAAAGTTATAAAAAATTCAGTTTGTAACAATGCCAGCCCGAATTTCAAGTGGTAGGAGTAGAAAGTTGTAGTTTTTCCCTGATCCACCCCAGAAAGAACAGGCATAGTAGCCTGAATGAGGAATAACAATTTACTCTATGTTAGAAAACATGGCTAAGCCCTAAGAAGCTCCACACAGAGTTCCAGTTCGCATTCGAATGTGTTTATAACCCACATTTGAAGCTCTGTAGCCGTGTTGATTATGAAGACCACTATTTGATAGTTTTCAGATGGTCCCATTAACACTCTGCATAGTTATTAGCCTAATAGTGTTATAACTCCTTCTCAAATGTTGTTTCTGTATGTAGTCTTAATTATTAATTTCCTGGCCCACAAGCACTTGTGTATCACAGCCTATGTATTTACAATAAAAATGACCACTGAAGACAGTCTCCAAGGTCAAATTGCTTGTAGGATGAATGTATAAGACGTCCCCTATTTTGGGGGACTCAAAATTCAGAAAATGGGGGGAGATTGCTCAGAGTTGTTGAGCTTTTTTGGGGGGGAGATTTCTGGAAATCGCTCACCTGCCTGACGTATGCTTCCACTCGCATGCACCGCTAAAGCCGCCCATTTACCACAGCGACACCCAATCAACACCAGCCCTTGCCGCAGCCCCCAGTGACACGCCAAATAGCTGCTGACAATTTCCAGCTTCCGGCAGCAACCAATCACACGTCCCCCCTATGCACTATCTGTGTATAAGACTGCACTATCTGTGTATAAGACGATCACCAAAATTTAACATAGTTTTTAAATAAAAATACCTCAGCTTATACACGAAAAAGTACTGTAAGTTCCTTTCTTGGCAGACATTATTAGTATGTTGTGGACGTTAAGTGGCTTGTTTGTAATGCAGGTCCAGTTCTGTGGAACCGGTTTTACTTGGTAAAAACATCTGGCTACAGGGACTGCTTTGCAGCATCCTAGATATGTTTGCATAAGGATAAAAATGGTAGCACTGCATATTCACCATGTGTTATATATGTACACAGAGATAGGAAATGCATTAGCACTCAGCCTGTTAATGCTATTGCAGCTTTTGTAAAGAGACTGCAGAGGCAGCAAAAATCCACTGCTGTTGTGGCTTGAAATTTAATGTCTTCATTAAGCATTGCAGCTCACAAGTCCAAAAGTAGAAGCAGTTGAATTTAATGGACAGTAGAGCGGTGATGTTAAGCAAGTGTCTCCAAATTGTCCTAGATATGAGTGTTTCCAGATGCAGTCAATTTCTCTTCCTTGTGGGAGCTATTCAGTTATGTGGGGGAAATTACAAATGTGCATTCAAAGACACCACTAGGAAAGGGTCTAACCACCACAGATCAAGTCTGTTCCTGTCAGAATTGCTTCATCCTCATACAGTGCTATGAGTTTAGGAATAAGCCTATCAAAGCCCCTTGAGCTGTGACTCCCCAGTGCCTGACAACCAGATGGCTGTTTGGAGCTCAGGAAGTGTTGTTGTGCAAGGGTCTTTGAAAGGTCGGTGGGGCAATCCACCTGCCAAGCATCTGACATCATTATGATGTCATAATGCCCCACCCACCTATCAAAGTTGGCCCATGGGGGTGGGGACAGATAAAGGTCTGGCCCACTGGGCCAAAAAGGTTCCCCAACGCTTCACTACAATGTGACAGAACGTTGGAAGGATGGGACAGAACACAGGGATCTTTCTTTTACTGGGAAGCTCAACAAAATGTTGCAGTGTATCATCAGATGTGCTCATTTTCAGGGATCAGGGATTTTAGTCATCTTGGAACAGCAGCCTTAGCACTGTTTGTGGCTCATGGTGGTAGTTTTTAGGAGTCGGGGAGGGGAAAATACACACACACCACAATTGTTCACCTTTCTGAACCTCTCCCATTGTGCTAGCCCCAAACCTGGTCTTGTTGTATAACTGGGATAGTGGGGAACAGAAAAGGTATATTTTTTCTTTCCTCCATATCAAAACCTCCCCATGTAGTGCAGAGTGGTGAGCATTTTAATATTCAGGGTGTACATTCCTATAAGCCTAAGAATACTATAAGTTGTTAGTGGCTCAAGCCAACCAATTCCTGACACCCCGCTTCTAATCCCTTCCCACTCCCCCGGCTGATGGACTTTCTCATGATCCTGTGGGTTCTAGAAGCCACTGAGAATAGGCAACAGGGGTATTTCGTTTTTTAATTTTCATTGTCATTTACAAACTGTTTTTTTTCTGCATAAATGAGCAATCCGCTACTTTATTTTTATTCCCATTTCAAAGGATGGGAAATCATCACTTGCTTCAGAGTTGTAAATTTAACATCAAATTAAATCTACAAAAAACTACAGGGGTACTTAAAACTAGATTTTGCATTGTTCAACAAGAGAAGGTCAACAATGGCTTAGTTTATCGCACATAATCTATGGTGTATCTGTTGAATAAGAAAATAGGTTTTTAGACGATGGGAATTATCTGAAATTTTGAGCTGCTCCTCTTTCTTCTGCCCATTTCAGTGTGGCAGTAAGTCTGGGCATTCTTTTTATTTTTTTAAAAAACCCTATTTTTAGCCCAAAGGCTCCAAAAGCAGTAAACAGTATATCAAAACAACAAAATGACTACAAAAAAATGCTGTGGATCGGTCAGCAAGTAAAACAATGTAAGATGCTCCGCCAACAATTTCAAGTCATGGAGATGAGTTTTCTGTTGAACAATCAATTAATTTTATTTTTCCAGGCACAGTACACTTGTAGTAACAAGTTCTTTTTCCACAGCAGCCCACCTGTTCCATCATTTCAGAAGATGATTTGCTATAATTTAGGGAAATGCTTAAAATTACAGTACTAGATTACTTGATGCAAGTCTTCAGTGTTCTAGGGCTGCAGTCTTAAATCCACTTACAGGGAAATTTGCCCTGTTGAACCCAGTGGGATTGCTTCCAAGTAAACATGCATAGGATTTCAGTACGGCAAACTTTGCCACAGGGATACTTACTTACAAGACTTTGAAAATGACCATCATGAATGAAGCAAGCAAGTTATATTATTCCCGGGCTATATTGCATTACATAGCTATGACTTCTACACACTGTCAGTAAAGAACATCATCACTCTAAGGAAGCCTGACTCGTCTCATGAATTTCATGTTGGCTACTGTGTCTCGACATTTCTAATTAAAAAGCATTGCTTTCCAAAATCACTTTCAGGCATTTGAAAATATTGCTGCATTTCGGTACCATATCATCACTCAAGTTTACTCCTTCCTGTGGTATCACATAACTTTGCTTTTTTATCTTGACCTTCACTTTGTTTGTTGTTCTAGAGTGGGGCTGGAAAGCTGCTGATTTTAGCTCTTTCTCTGCCTAGCTGCTAAGCATTATTGCATTAGTTGTTTCTTTGTGGACGTAATCAAAATCGGCAGGGAAACCGATATCTTTAAACCACCCCACTTCCTGCTTTGTGTTCTATTTTGCTTGGAGAACAGAAATGCGCAACAGAAATTGGCTAAATTTGTTTAAAACCATCCAATTTGGAGGCCATCACTGCCTCTTGTGGAAGAAGAGAAAAAGAAGAAGAGGAGTTGGGATTTGATATCCCGCTTTATCACTACCCGAAGGAGTCTCAAAGCGGCTAACAATCTCCTTTCCCTTCCTCCCCCACAACAAACACTCTGTGAGGTGAGTGGGGCTGAGAGACTTCAGAGAAGTGTGACTGGCCCAAGGTCACCCAGCAGCTGCATGTGGAGCAGCAGGGAAGCGAACCCGGTTCACCAGATTACGAGACTACCGCTCTTAACCACTACACCACACTGGCTCTCCAGTGACTTCCATAATTTAATTATGCATTGTGTGAATAAGTATTTTCCTTTATCTGTCTGGAAAAAATTAATATTCAGCTTCATTGGATGTCCATGAGTTCTAGTGTTATGTGTGTGAGAGAAACTTTTCTTCACCCACTTTCTTCATACCATAAATAAATTATTTAAGTGTCTATCATGTTGCCTCTTACTCAGCTTTCCCCTAAACTAAAGAGTTCCATTCCTCATAGGGGAGCCCCTTGATAATTTGGGCTGCCCTTTTCTGCATGGCCAGAAGTGTACACAGCATCCCAAATGCGATAGTACCATAGATTTGAATAACAGCATTATGATACCAGCTGTTTTATTTTCACTTCCTTTCCTAATGGTCCCTAGCATGGCATTTGCCTTTTTCACGGCTGTGGCATTCTGAGTCAACATCTTCATGAAACCTATTCATTAGGACACCAAGGTCTCATTCCTGGTCTGTCACCACCAGTTCAGACCCCATAAACATTTATGTGAAATTAAGATTTTTTTTAACCCAACATGCATCACTTTACACTTGTATACATTGAAATGCTTTGCCATATTACTGCCCATTAGCTCAGTCTGTTTGGAGTTCTTCACAATCTTGTTTTGTTTTAATGACCCTGAATAATTTAGTATTGGCCACCTTACTTCACTGTATTTACTGATCTTGATTATATACTCTTGCTTGAAATGGAAACTGTCGCCTTGCTAGATCAGACTAAGATCTACCTAGTCTTAGTATTCTCTGCAAATATCCCAGCAACCAGCAGGTGCTTTGCTTTCTGCTAGAAAGAAGCCAGTTGTCCACTCGTAGACTATGCACTGTCTTCTACTCACTGTGACGTAGAAATTAAGTTTGTGTCTCTTGTTTTAGAGACCTTCAAAAAAGTGACTGCAGCATATACCCCATATATACTGAGAATGTTTCTCAAAGGGTTGCCACCAACTTTCCCCCCTACACTTCAAGTTCTAAAGCAGTAACTCCCTGGAGATATCCACATTTTCTCCTAAATTTGTGAGGTGGCTAAGAGCTTTGAGGGGCAGAGAAAGAATACAGTGGATGCTCGGGTTGTGAATGTGATCTGTGTGGGAAGCACGTTCGCAACCCGCAGTGTTTGCAACCTGCAGTGCCGCGTCTGCGCACACGCGGGTTGCAATTGTGCATGCGCAAAGCGCGATTTAGTGCTTCTGCACATGTGCGAGTGCCGAAACCCAGAAGTAACCCATTCCGGTACTTCCGGGTTCAGCACGGTGCACAACCTGAAAACGCGCAACCTGAAGCGTCTGTAACCTGAGGTATGACTGTATAGAAAATGGAGGCCCTCCCTACCAGATTCCACTTCCACATGCATGTAGCTAGTCAACTGCAATAATGAATTGTTTGGGGAAAATGTCAACAGCTCTTTAATTTCCCTTCACACCAATGTGATTTGATATGGAAAAATTCCTTCCTATGTTCTCAAAGGAGAAATCTATATTTAGTGGTTTAATAATCTTCACTGCGGCCTTACACCGATAATCCCCTCAGATGAGAGGAGGATGAATCCAAAAAGCAGCCATGCAGTCTGAGAAATTAACTGCCTGTAGTTCCCTGAAGCAATTCTGTTATATCTTTAGGGAAGTCAACAAAGTACTTGAGGAAGCTTTCAGCAGTGGCAGTTCCCTTAGGCAAGGGGGGTGAACTTTATGCTACCTGACTTTTTCCACAGGGTTGAAGTTGTTGACGGTTCACAGATGCTAAGCTTCAAAGCTGTTGTGCTTGGATTGGAAGGAGTAAACTTGACAGGCCGCCGTTTGCACCTTTAGCTGTTAGGGCAAGTTGCCGTCCATTGGCCAGGATCCTTGGCTGTTCTAAATCTCCTGAGGAAGTACAGCAACTGAGCAGTTTTGTGTCTGGAGAATTTTCCGTATTCGTAAAGAGATTTTTCTCCTTCATATGGATCTCTTTGGGCTTTAAACCAAATTCACATAGCCTGCTGCTTCCTGATGTTTTTCTCCTTACTGTGGGCAACTAAAGTGATGACATAAGTTTATCCTTATCCCTCCCATTGCAAAGTGCTGGGATTCAATGTGTCAGATAATCTACTAATTCAAAGCACTGCAGTACATTTGGTTATTGCAATAGCAGCAGTTTCTTCTTAGACAGGAGCTTCCCAGTATTGTTGTAGCAGCAATGCAGGATGTTAAATGGGAAGTATCTTAACAGGATCCCCCAGATGTTGGGAGGGTTTTCACTTTTGATTGCCTAGTTTTGTGCAACGGTTGCTGTCCCATCTATGCCAATCCTGCCTCTCCATTTGGTCAGAAGCGACCGTCATAGCAATTGACATACTCACATTGTGGGATGCTAGTGATAATGTGCTGAATCAATGTGTCTGTTCATAGAAGCAGCATAATTGCTGGAGGAAGCAGCCATTGGGAAATGCCTTCATGGGTGGATCTTCAAGCAGGCATCTGAACCTTGCTAATACAAGTAAGCAAGGTGGACGGCTACCTGAAAGGCCATATAGAGATAAGCCTGATATCCAGTTTAAATCATTCTTAAACCTGAGTACTGGTCTAAATGGAGCAGTTGTAAGGTGACCTCCCCTCCCCCACACCACCAGTAGGATTACCAACTTCTTGATTAATTGGGGTTAGATGAAATAGTTTTCAGTTGTGTAAATAGTGCTGAACACATAGACAGATTCTGCACAGCTCCATCAGACAATTGCATCATTCCAGAGTGGAAAGTGCCAGGGAATTTGGATGGGACATAGTGAGAAACTGTTCTCTCTCTCACTTAATGTGTGACCTTCGAGTAAATGGAAATCTTACTGCCTGCCTTAATGCTGCAAATTAATAGGAAGCAGCGCAGGAGAGTGTGGTCCAGTGATACAGCTCCACATGCACATGCAGGTCTCTGCCTTTGTTTTCTACTGCAGGCAAAGTGTCATGTGGTTGTTTTGCTTTGCTTTGTTTTGTTTTGTTTTGTTTTGTTTTGTTTTGTTTTAAATGGACTCCCATTTTAAATGAGATGTTTAATATCCTGCAGGTTTAAGGGACTAAAAGTGGACAGGTCATTTCAGATCCCCAATTTTTTCTGATTTGTTTTGCCTTTGATCTATCTTAGGCACTTGGTTATTTAGGCTGTCCAGTTTGTGATCCCTTTTAAAGAGTGGTGGGGAAGGTGTGGCCCTCCAGATATCAATGATGCTGTTGGACTTCCAACTCCTATCAGTCCCAGAAATTACGGCCAATGGTTGGGATGATGAGAGTTGTGGTCTAGTAACACCATTATCTTCTGGAGGACCATATGTTCCCCATCTCTGCCTTTTAAAGAACCTAATGAACATCTTATTTATTTACTTTGTTACAACACCAGCAACAACTTTATGTTATTGCTTTATTCCACATAGTCTCAAAGTGGTTTACACCATAAAACAAAAAATAGATACAGTTAAATAAAATCACAGTAGTGGCAAGATTGGGGGAGCTCTGGGGTGGCCGCTGTTGCTCCAGAGCTCAGCTCAACTTGTCCTATGCTTGTTCTGGTGGGTGCATTGCCTCTCTGCATCCCCACATCCCCTCACAAGCCACTGCTGCACAGTAGCTTTCCTCCTTCATAGTTCCTGCTTTCTCCCCTTGGCCAATGGATTTTGGTATGACAGTGACGGTTCTGCCTGTGGATTATATGTCTTATATTTGGACAGAGGATGAATCATTATGAGAAGAACTGAAGAAAGCAGTTGAATGTGTTCTGGGTTTACTGCTGGGGATCTGAGATCAGGGATAGATGAATTGCTTGCCACCAGGGAGGTTTTATTTGCAAGATGAGCCCCTGAATAGCCCCATGTTGACCACCAACCTTCACATTTTTGCCTGGTCCATACTAACACAACTGGAAATTCTCTCTGCTGCACCCCCTCCCCTGCAGTGTTTACAATTTCATTTTCTTTGGATGTGTACTTGCTTGCCTAAGTGCCTGGGGGATTATACTTGTTTAGCTTGCTTGTACCTTTTGTAGGAGCACAATGGCAACAGATGCTCACTGGATCAGAAGCAAAGCTTCTGCATTTCTCTGAGCTTCTGGGGAGACTTTCTCACCAAAGAATGGCTTTGGTTGTGGTGAAAGCTGGTCTTTGGTGATGTATTATTCAGCACTGTGCATCTGGGTATCCAACACCATTTTTTTGTTTCTCTTGAGTGTCTCTTCACTGCCTTGGATAGTTTAAGTCACTTGGTTACCTCCAGCCTTTTTTACTGCATTGCATTCATTACCAATCAAGTCAAAATTGGGCATGCCTGATGACTAACATTCCCCAGGGTTCATTCCTTCTGTGATCCATAAGTGACAGAGACAGGGCTTATCACAGAGAGAAACAAGCCTGGCTGTTGCTTTGCCTGGAGGCAGGTTAACCCAGTTGGGGTCAATCAGCTGATTTTTCTTTGTCTCTCTCTCCCTCTCTTTCCTATCTTTTTGTCAGGAAGAAGCTGACCCTGATTAAGGAAATGCTGGCTGGCTGTGGGGCAGGGACCTGCCAGGTGATTGTCACCACTCCCATGGAGATGCTCAAAATCCAGCTGCAGGATGCAGGCCGAATTGGTACCTCACCTGTCTCTCTTCTCTCCTCACCATGCCCATGCAGCAGCAGAAAATGTCTCCGATGGCTTTGCAGATGATGGGAGGGCAGTGGTGGGAGGGAAATAGGACTGAACTGCGCTGGGATCAGGTTTTATTAAGGGGTGATATACAGATATCCAAAACTAAGTTTTTATTGCTTAGCCCAAAGGCCATCAACAGTGAATCAGTAAAATGTGGGGCACACCACTGAGTATAATTAGAACACAACATAATGACATAATCGGTTACAATATATACCTTAATAAATTTTAGGGATTCGGAGCCCTTTCAGCAGTTCTGTTAACTGAACTGTTTCCCTGAGTAGCTCCAGGATATATTACATCACTGGGAAGGACCTCAGCCTTGTGAGCCAAATGATGAGTCTTTCCATTCTCCTGATGTGAGAGAGCCTGAAATTGTATCTTTAGATATCTGTATAGGGAAGAGGAGGCTGGTAAAACAATAGCTTGCGTTCAGCTTGTGAATTATTAAACTGGATAACTAATGCAAAAAAGGGAGGAGGATCAGTTGCCCCCTATGGTGTTCCTTTTCTATGACACTTTCTTTCTGTTTCCACCCCAGTTAGAAGGTCTGGCAGTGTGCCAAAGCCCTTAGGCATTAAGAACTTGTGTTCTTGCCCCAAACAACCTTACCTACCATTGTTATGTTATCTCATTTCCCCCCAAGTAAATTTCAGGACAAAATTTAGAATACTGGATCTTTTCTGTTGACAGGTGTGGAACATAGGGGGAAAGAGGTGTGTGTGTGTGTGTGTGTGTGTGTGTGTGTGTGTAAGTTGGGAGAGGGGATAGCTTAATGATACTCACTATCTATTGTATTAACAATGAATTCTAATAATGCAGGAACTGCTTAGCACAGAGGAGTTCAGTGGGAAATTTTTGCAACCACAGAATTGAACCACCAACGCTGTTTGTTTTCAAAAGCTCCAATATAAATATCCTGTTAGACAGGACTGTTGTGAATAACAACCACTCATCGCTGAGACTTAGTATCTCCCTCTGCTTCTGATTACCCATTTGCCTCTGAATCTTTTTGTATCTTACCGGTTTCCAGTTGTACTTCAAATCCTCTGTTACTAATGTGTTAAATTAGAAGGCTGCAGAAAGATTCTCACTGCAGCACAATACTGGGATTTAGTGCCTCAGTTGCAACAGAGGCTATGTGAGCAAATATATTAGCTCAGGGGATTTACATGGGCTCCATCTTCTGATAAAATAGGAGAAGTGCAGTGGAAGTAGTTTGGGGGAGAAGAAGTGAACAGACTGCATAGATCTCTGGGTAAATGCTTTGTCATATATATATATATATATATATATATATATATGAGACATGACAGTGGAGTGCACTGTATGTTAAAGCCTGTGATATGCTCAGAGAATATGGTGTTGTGACAGCCACATAAATATTTTACTTAGAGCTAAAATTCAACAGCACAACGTAACTGGATAAAGGCAGTTTCTAGTGACTTATCAGAGGGCAGTACAACTGACCTTAAGCAATGTTCAGTTCATTACATTTGTGGCGGGCCTATTCTTCCTCCTGTCAGAAGCAAAACATTTATGTTATGTCATTGTCTGTAACTTACATGCTGCATTCATGTTTATTGTGGTAAATGACAACTCTGTCTTGATTCCTCTTCAGCTGCTCAGAAGAAGCTAATGGCCGCACAAGCTCAGTTAAACCCTTCCACTGGTGCTGGGGCAGCAGAGTCTGTTGTGGAGACACGGACGACAGCAATGCAAATCACAAGGGACTTGCTTCGGAGCAAAGGCATCGCAGGACTTTATAAGGGACTTGGCGCTACGTTGCTAAGGTAGGGCACCCCTTTAGGCCCTCTGGAGGACCTAAAATCCAAATGGTGCCCAGTAGTCTGGGGTAACAACAAGGAATGAATAGGAACACATGTTGTTCCCTGGGTATTGACTCAGTTAGGGATGGGGACAGAGTGGGTAAGGGAGGGAGATGGTGATACACTGCACTGGAGTTTCATAGTACTAAATGAGAACAGTGTAGAAAGAGAAATACCTGATGCATTTGAAAACTATGGAAAGGGGAATCTTCTTTCTGTGCACAACTAACCACCCCTTACAACTGGCATGAGGCATGAGGCAGCTTGGTATTAAAGGACTAAAGGAAAGAGCTCTTCCCTTGTCCCTCATGGTCTTGCTTCTCCTTCTGCAGGGATGTACCGTTTTCCATTGTTTATTTTCCATTGTTTGCAAACCTGAACAAACTAGGGCAGACAACCCCGGATGTCAAGGCTCCATTCTATGTGTCCTTCCTTGCTGGGTGCCTGGCTGGCAGCACGGCAGCTGTAGCAGTGAATCCTTGTGATGGTAGGTACTGCAGCAAAGTTCAGTCAAGGTGCTGTGCGTGTGAAATGTGGGGAGGTTCACCAGAACAGTTGGCAACAGGGGGAAAATGAGGAAAGAGTGTGAACACTGGTGTTTTTGTGTTCTCACGAAGCACACTATCACAGGAGGCAAACTGGCATATAATGCAGTGGACTACAGCAGTGTTAAGAAAGAGGGGGGAAAGATCTAAGTTGCAAAGCACCCAATACCACAGTAAGAGAAGCTGCTATCCTGATTGTTCCAGCTAGTGGAGGTTTGTATACTTTCCACTTGAGAAAGAGAATTGAAGAAATGCAGTCAGCCACAGGCCCTTCTTGTAGAAAGGGTAAATTCTGTACTACAGATTATCTTTGAAGGAATGCTAAATGCATGTCAGATATAGAGGTGATCTCTGCCTGATCTCTTGCCATTTGAGGGGCGGGGAGAACATCCTCAAAGCAACAAGGGGGCTTACAGCTCTCCTGAGCTAACCAGGGCTGTAGCCTGTTAAAGCATGTTTCTCCCTTGAAGAAGGGAGCCCTCGGGTACCACACCTTAACAGAGGAACATCTGAATCCTCCAGGGAGCAAATAGCTCCCATCAGCCACAGACTCAGGTAGCACTCATACACCAGAAATGCATTGCAAGATTTTGTGGCAGAGCCCCATTTCTTTGTGATATAGTCAGTGTCTAAGAGCCTTGCAGTTGATGCAGAATGTGGCAGAGGTGCAACATAATGTGTTAAAGGAGGGAGGCAACTTCATCATAATGACAGAAGCAAATGAAGAGCTTAGTAAAAAGCATGTCCGGATGATAAAGACTACCGGTAATCTGTTCATGGAGAGAGAGTTGTAAAAGGGGAGGTCATAAAAATCTCTTCCAGCTTAGCAGTGCTGGGATACTTGTATATGCCTAAACAGCTAAAGGAAGCCTGGAGAAATTAATTAAATACAGACTAGAGCACTGATTGTATCAAACGCTGCTGTCTTCTTTCCCCAGTAATCAAGACAAGATTGCAGTCCTTGCAGAGGGGGGTCAACGAGGACACATACTCAGGGATCATAGACTGTGCCAGGTAAATGATCTTTTGAGAGTGATCAGCAATCGGCAAAACGTGGGCGTTTGTCCCAAGGATACCAGTGAACAGAGAGGCTTACTACCAAAAGGATTGTGTTGCAGGCATAAAAACAGAATTTTACTCATATATGAATTTGATACATGTTTCTTGTCGGGGCTGCTGCTGCTGGATGTATCCAAATCCACTTTGATAAAACTGTGAGATTCTTATTAAAACACAGTGAATGAAATACAGTATAGTAACTATGGCAGCTTGGCTTGATGGCTATACACTTCCTCCAGGATTGGAGACGCCATAGTAGGCACAAGTTGCCAGTAGGTGTGGGGAACGACAGTAGAAGAGAGGCAGCTGTGGACTTATTTCCCATAGGCATCCAGTTGACTATTGCAGGGAACAGGATGCTGGACTAGATAGGCCCTTGGTCTGATCCAGCAGGGCCCTTTGTATTTTAACTGGGCCCGTTGGTAGGTTCCAACCTTGAAGTGTGTCTCATCCTGCATCCATTAGCAACTGGGAGGAAGGGACAGCACTGCCCATCTGAGCTCCCAGAGTCACTGCCACTTAGCAGCATGGGGAAGGGTGAAGCAGCAGGGGGCTTGGCATGGGCATTGGTGCTGTGCAGGTACGCTGGCGGGAGTGCAAGATTGGCTCCACAGGGGCAACCACACACTGCTGGCATCCCCACTGCCTGGTCCCTCCCACTCTTCTCACCCATTAAGTGGCAGCAACTCCATCACCAGGAAGTCAGACACCTCCCCATCAGCTGCTGCTGCCTGTACCTCTCCCATCATTTATTTTGCATTGCTCTTAAAATCCACTACAAGCAAGCCTGGAAACCCACCCAGTGTTGTGTGTCCCAAACAAGGATGTGAAAATCACCTAGTCTGAGCTTTGTTTGGGCAAAGGCTGACACATATGTGAACGAAATTTGCAGCAGATAACCATTTTTATGCTATTCCTGGCCAAATAGCCATTGAGATGAGCAGGAAATTGGTTTTTCATTGTACATGAAATGCCTTTGTAAAGTATGCTGCTCATGTGGGAAAGCCTGTTTGTTATAGATAACTGTGTGCTCTAAAGCAAAACGGGCAGGGCGGGCATGACTGAAGTAACAGATATTCTGATTGGCAACACTTAAATGGGAGTTGTGGTGAACACACGTAGTCTCATCTGATTTCTTTGTGTGCCTTTTTAGGAAGATCTGGCGGAATGAAGGTCCCACAGCCTTTTTGAAGGGGGCATATTGCAGAGCCCTGGTCATCGCCCCACTCTTTGGTATTGCACAAGTTGTGTATTTCATCGGCATTGCTGAATATTTCCTAGACATGCTTCCAGTGCGCCGGGATTAACCCCTCACACCTCTCCCCATCCAATTGGAATTCATCATAGTATTCTTTGTCACCGTGCTATCAGAGCAACAGCACAAGGAGTTAAAACAGTAATGGGGGGGGGAATGAATGTTGTCTCCAAACCAAGTCCCCCCCCTCCAGTCAACATGGCCTCACCATTATGCCAGGGAAGATACCTGATTATGCATATCTCCTTTCTAATTATCAATCTCAAAAGACACTGGTTAGCACAGACTGTCTTACAGACCTGCTTTTTCTCCTCTTGGCTAGGGGAGAATGACCAACAAATCAAGAAAGAGCAAAGGACTTTCCTCCCCCACCCCCACCCATTCTTGGTTTCAGGCCTCTGGGGAAGCCAAGGGGCTGCTATCCATTAAAGGGAGGCCAGTTTGTCATTCGAAAAGGCGGGTAATTTCTGAAATAAAAATGTTTTGTTTTCATGTAGGTCTCCTAAACATCCCTCTCCTAAATTAGCTGGACTGAAGTGAACTCTTTGGATATCAAAGGAGGAGGGGAAAGGGAAAGGCGCATTTTGTATTTAGAATTTGTGAAAGGGACTGCCTTCCTGAATGAGTGTGCGCAGGTGAAATGTCCTCCCTGCAGATGTGCACTCAACTGCTAAGGAGCTGCATCTGTGGAAACACAGTGCTGTCCAGTGTCGCAAACTAGCTGAGCCATTGTGATAGGGAAGAACTGAATAATTTTGGGATCATTTTTTTTTTTTTTAAATCATGCTGGATTAAAAACAAAAAAAAACCCCAACCCAGTAATACATTCCTTTCAATCAGCCTAGTTGATGCTGGTGATGCTGCTGTTCCACCCAGTGTTTCAGTTGTCTGTGTTTTGACCTGTACCTGTATTCCTTTCCTGTTTCCCTCTGGGAGCACAAATAATGCCAAAGGGTTACTTAGGGAAAGCTGATCTCTGATGTGGCTGTAAACACTGCAAAATGCCAGATGGCATAGAAAGAATTAGCTTAGCTGAAATCAGTGGAAATAATCTTGCACATTTCTTGAGGTTCAGTTGCACCGAAGTCAAAGAATTATGCTATATTTACGCCAGTTCAGATACCAGTTCTTTACTGGCCTGCAATGATAATTTTTTTAAGGGTGCCAGCTAGTTTTCCTATTCCGACCAAAACTGACAGCAGAAGGTGGCTTGTTAACCTCCACAGGGCTCTCCATATCTCTTATGTTCTCTCTCAGAGATAGAAGCCTGGTTTTCTTCTGTTTGTTTCAACAGTTACTCTTCCATCAGAGCAAAGTAACCCAAGTATCAAAATCAATGCTAATTCTGGTAATTTCCCCTTTATTTCTATTTCCTGCTTCTCAGGTGCTGACACAGTGCTGCCTGCAACATTGCAGGGAAATATTTTATATTTTTTAAAAAATCTGTTAAAGTTTTGCAAATTCCTTTTTTTTTTTTTTTGATGGGGTGGGGCAGTCTGATTTTGGAGGATAGCGTGTTTAAGAGACATTCCCCCCTCCTGCAACTTGGTCTTTGTCTTCTTGTTGCTGCGCCTCAATACTTCTTATATCCCATTCCAAAGAAATGAAATGAATTAGGTATGCAGATGGTGTGGCTATTTACATTTGCCCTTGGAGATGTCTTAAATGTTCCTAATGCCCATGTCACTGTTGGCTAGGGTAGCCAGACACAGAAGAGGAAAGGAACTCTGCACCTTGAATAGCTGTGTAGAAGAGGGAAGCATCAGCGGATGTTTCTTGTTATGAAAGCTGCACCTGTTGTGACATTCCCTCTTCTACACAAATATTAAAGGTACAGGAGCCCCTCTCTTGTCTTACATCTGGCCCTCCTATTGTTGGACCCTTTGAGTTAGCAGGGGGAGATGTTTTATTTATTTTAAAAATATGGCACTTTTTTTTTTAAACTTTTCCATTGTATGAAAACAAGGCCTGAAGAATGTGGGGTTTTAAAGCATGGTTTCCTTGCTTATCTTGAACATTAAATGTTAGAATCATTACGTTTTAGAAGACTGATTGTCGGACTGATGGTGCTGACTCACAAAATAACAGAAACAAATTGCTGGAACTGGTTTACAATAGGAGCTGCATCTAATAATTTAATTTGCTTCATTTCATGCTGCTTTTTCATCACTGTAAGCCCTTGTTTACTTTCACATCTAATCGTCATTTAAAACTCTATTGCAATGTCTGTCTTGCTTAAATGACCAAATGCCGCTTTGAAAGAGGAGGCCTTAAAGGACTCGCTGCTGCTGCCGCCGCTGCCACCACATGTCTGAGCCCACCATAAGACTACAGATTCTCTGTCAAGGCCTGGAACATCTGCACTGATGTGCTTTGGTATTTCTGAAGCAGAAATCAAACAATGATTTAGTGTTTTAAGAAGCACAATCTTCAGGATTAGTTTTTTGCACTTTAAAAAGAAAGGGCAGCGGGGACCTCATTTTAAAGCAACCCCTTGCAAGAAATCTTTTTTTAAAAATACTTTTGTCACATGAAGAAAAACTGAAGTGGTACCCAAAATGTAATCTAATGGTGTGTGAGAGATTTATGGTTTGAAGCTTTATTTTAATGACAGGTGAACCTTTGTCCAGGTGAAAACAAGGGTTTATGTAAAAATACTGATAAAAAGAAAATATCTGTGCCTAAATAAAACAGGCTCCAGTTAGCAATGCTACCACTAAGGCAGCTGCTGCTTGCTTGCCAGGAGATTTTCCTGCTGAGATGTGGCTCAGCACTGTTGCTAGTAAAGGGAAAAGGCACTGCTTGTTTTTTGCATGAATACTCCTAAGCCCCAGTTTTAGTGTAGCATGACCAAGCTAATAAAGCAGGGTGGTGTTGTTTTACAGTCCTTCATACTAGCTGTCAATTGAAATGTTTAATGTTGGCATTCTTATTGCTGCAAACTTAGAATATGTCCACATTTCAGACACACAACGTTCAAACATGTTGAATTAAACATTTAAAATGTTTGTGGTGCTTCAGCAGTGTAGATAAAGCTTTATTACATTTCATATTAAATTTTATTGTGAGTTTTCAACATAAGATAACAATAAAAAACCAAACTAATCTAAAGATTGAGAATGATAAACAAGACAGGAAGCAGAAATAAAGAAAAGAGGGGGGACACTATATGTATATATAAAACCAAGCCCTCTGTCACGATTATGCCTTGATCCTTATTCCACATACAGAAGAGTTAACCCTCCCAGCTCTCACCTTAGAGCTTTCCCCTCTTCCATCAGCCTCACATCCTGAGGAAACCGCTCTGGCCTGCCTCTTGTGCACGTCCCTTCTAGAGAAAGCTCTAAGAGGCCCTTGTGTTTTCATGGAACCACACGTCACTGGGTTCCTACTGAAGTTCCTACAGAAGCTGTGAATCATTTGAATTTACAATGTGGAGATAGCCTAAAATCATTGTTTCCTAAGCTTTCTGGCTCCTAAGGGCTTATTGGCCAACATGTCCACAGTCCACATTAAGAAAGGAAGAAAGAAAAAAATCTAATGAGGTCATTTCAGGCATATCTGTGAGTGGTGGAAGTCTGCAATTCAGTTCTTGCTCCTATAGATTAGGGCTTTCAAGCAGAAGGTCCAGAGGCCTTATGGGGTCCTCTGAGGTCCAAGGAATCCTATTTTAGTCCAGAGCTAATTTGAGTTTGATAGCGTAGATAGTGATCCTTCAGGTGTAGGGAGGTCTGTATTACAAACACAGACCTGTCAAGTTCTGTGCATGCCCTTCTATTCTGAGTAAATTTGGAGTAATGCTTAGATGTGTACTTGCAATCACCAGTGTGAATTATAGTTCCCATTCTAATAATAATCGTGCACTGAAATAATAAAACCCACATTTTAGTCTTTCTTAACTACACTTTTGTACTAGTAGTAAGGCTGGTTAAAGTCTGCTGAGGGTATCTTAGCCATTCCATGCTAACTGGGAAGCAAGCAGCTTTTGAGGACAATAGCCCATGCTTTAAATAGGGAATAGTGGCACCAATCTGTGTTGGCGGTAAAAAGTTACAAGTTTTCAGTTCAGCAGAGTTCAAGGAAGCTCTAGAGACCAAATGGTACAAATATCCTTCAAGGAAAAAAATGAAATGCTGAGCTCTTCAGTTTTAAAAATGCCAGCCCTTCTAAATCAAAATGAGTACCTGGAATGCAGTTGAGGATCCTGAGGTCCACATCCCATGATTCTCAAATATGCCAGTGAGGGAGAATGTGCATGACTTTTTTATTATAGAAAAAAGCTGTTATGTGGTTACTTTTCTGAGTCATTCCGTTGTGAAACTCCCCCCAACCCGTCCCATGAATGTTGCCCCCTGAGTGTTTAGCTATGACTTAAAATTTTGTTTTGGATTGTTTCTCAGTATATGGTTAAATAGAAATTTTGCTGTATGAGAATGACTGGGAATGTTGCAGTGCTGACATTCTCTTTTCACGTGATTGTATAAACTCATCTGAACATGTAGTCTTTACTCAGGCATGTTTCAGCCAAAAATAATGTCTGAGGCAAGAGTGCTGTGCAAAGTCCGGTGTGAGGTAAAAACAAGCAAACCAGTGTTTAGTTCTCCGTGTGTGTGTGTGTGTGTGTGTGAAACAGATTTTTATTTTCGTGAACTTAATTTATCATTAAAATCAATTTTTAAACACCATACTAAATTAAGCGCAGGTAACCTAATAAAATGCATTTAAAAAAACCCCATCTGTGTCTGGCTTGCCTGTTATCTGTATCTTACCCTTTGAGATTCTCAATATAGCAACCAGATACTGTAAAAATGTGTTGGTTTTTTATTTACGCAATTGATTATAATGAACTAATCATTGCAACATGACTAGTATTGGATCTTAGGGAAGGAGTAAACAATCAACACAAGCTTTCTCATGTTAGAAACTGTGATCTCAGAAGTTCTTGCCAATCACTGGACTTTTAATAGGTAATAGGTAACAGAAATGCCGTCCTCTCATGAAATTTGTGTACTTTGGGCTATTCCTAGGCATATGTTGCTTCTAAAAGGCTCC